ATATATGCTGTGCAAGTCTGCAACTGATTCACACGCCAGTCACCGGTGCTGCGCCCACAGCAATCGGTGGACATCGCCGATTTGGCTGGTCGAAACGCCAGACATTTCTGAAGTTTGAATCACCCTTGGTCTACACAAGGGTCAGTTCGTCTAAAAAAGGACATCAAATTCAACACAGTAATCAGTTTAATGTTGGTTATTTGTTCCGGCCTAGGTGTTTACTTTTATTTTATGTCGAGCCTTTTTATGTTTGCTTGAGCATGTTATTAGCTTGCTACTTACAAACCCCCAAGCACACTTCAGACAGGATTTTTGCTTGGTCCGCCTTTGCCATGCAGACCTCGAAGCCTATTTTTTCTATATGTAAAGGTGCCTTCACGGAGCTCGTGCCTCAACGGGTTTCTTTTTCAATGCAGTCGTGGTGTCTTTTTCCATGCCAATTTAAGTTAACTGGGTTCACTTTTCTCCTGTTTCTGATCCCTCAGCAAGTTGATGACCACAGTGGTATCCCTATTTGCCTCGTCCTACGTCTTCGAGTGGCCCAAATACATGAAGGATGTTCAGCTTCTATATCCACCCGCCTTCGACGCGCGTGTCGTCCTCTACCCCACAGATGCCAATCTTCGCGACTACCTCAGCTGGCGGCAAGTTGATTGTAAGTATCGCTTTTGCGGCTGTCTGCCTTCTTGATTGACCAGTTACTCGACCCGTTTGGCATCCAATCGGTGGTACGGTGTCGACCTATATACTGTAACTGGACACATTGCCAAATCCGAGGTCAGGGGGGATAATGCTGATTGCATAATCTTTACTTACAAACGCAGCGGAGCATGGCACGACCATTTCTGACCTATTTTTTAATTCTCCATCAGCGTTATCCTAAATCCAGTGTCAGGCCATCTGAGATTTGAAACCATGTCCAGTTAGTCACCGGACTACTGGCGCACACCCTGTCAGTTGCGATTGGGAGTATGAAGAAGGAGTAGATATGATCGCTGTCGAAAGGATGTTATTCGCACTTCGTTTCGAAATCTGTTGCGGATCCATCATCAGAGACAAAAGCAGAAAAGGGTAATTAATACACAATGAGTTGCAGTATTAATCGAACACAGTCACTATGCTACTGCACACTTATGCAAATTACGGTCCGTTTGTCTGCTAATTACTTTATGGCCGGCGTACGGGTCGTGACCTGCTGAACTCTCACCGCCTGTGCTAGACTTAAGTGTGATGACTGCTCTGGCTCCCTGGTGCATGCATTAGACGATACGATCACCGAGTGGCGCTTCGGGCTGGCCAAACTGAGCCTCGGCACCGAATATGGGTTGGACAGATCGTTGCACTTGGCGCCCGTGAACCATGAATCAAGTAATTCGCGACTCACACGATTTTCACTTATCA